GGTACAACATGAGCGGCAAGAGTCCAATTAAGGTGCTGACACGCCAATCAAGAAGACCCTTGTAACGTAAATGCCGAGTACGACTGCGAACTTGTGGGTCCCCGGCGATCGGTGAAAGATAATGACAATACCACTCGTCTGCAAGGACAGCGAATAAAGCGGTTGCGAGACTGAAAGCAAGACTCGCGAACCATAGTCCGTTGACCCATGAATCCAGAGTCTGTGGCGTGAAAGGAGCCGTAGGGTCAGCGCCTGATGTGGCGATGAGGTCGAGGGAAGTGCCGTTGGCTAGGGCACGTTGTATATTGATCTGATCGAAGAGTAAAAGGGCCGACAATTCCTTATAGTTTGGTTGGAGATTTCCGGAAGATTGCGCAATGAATGCGCTGACAATTGCAGAGAACAGTCCTGCCTACAAGGGGGAGAAATTAAGGCGGTACATCATGGCTTGACTTGAATTAGCTTACAAAAACGAGGAGGATATTCACTTGTCCTCTCTGGTTACCAAGCATATCGGTGTCGTAAACCAAGCTTTCGTCCAGATAAGCTCGCCAAATACAAGATGTCGGGCCCGCTTCTTCAAAAGGTGGACTCGGCGCATATGCCCGATAGTCAGCTGGAATGGCACGCGTAAGTGCAGATAAAATACTTGGATAAATTGCACATACCAGTCGACACTCCTGCAGCCGTGCTTGTAGAGTGCGACGGCAGAGCAAAAATGCCTGGGTGTCTTTTCCTAGTTCGACACGCCGTAGGCTCTTCATCATGCAGGTGCGCTTTCTTGTCTCTGTGGCTCGCACTGGCAAGCGGCGACGAAGGATGGGAATTAGTAGGATCGTCCAATGAAATTTGGGAGTGTCGCGCTGAATCATCCAGCTCTTCAGCGATTTCAGTCCCTTCGTCATTGTCAATGGGATCCTGTGGATTCTCGTCTCGAATGTCTGTGGACATATTGTGCTCGTTCGTAATGGTCAAGAGAGAGATACCGCAAGAACGAGGCAACAGATATTAATGTGATTCAGCCGTCCGCACATTCGCATGTAAGCGGAATGGAATGATGAACTTTACGGCAGTTTAGAGAATTGATTCGGTTGATGGGCCCTGCAGTATTAGACATCCAGGAATGTGACACAAGCGGGTTGTAGACGAACCAAGCATGGGAAGTTATTGCGAGGCAAGTGAAGAGACTACTGAACGATCATTCGAAGCATCACCTCGTGTATCCATTGAATGATTCGTCGAAAACAAGCTCTAAGAACTGCGACCCTCCATCGATTTAGATTCTGACAGATAGACAAAGGTAAAAGCAGTCACCTGTTGCTCTTGCTGGGCGGTAGATGACGTTGTCGTTGCATATGAGTCTTATACAAGAATAGACGTCCTCTTCTTTGCTTCCTGATGATCATTCACATTAATACCCGTGTTTTCAAGGCGATAGAAGGCACTTCCACTGTGATTTAATCCCCGAAAGTCGAGCCATTCGCCCTTATCGTCGCAGAGGAGATAAACGCAGAGTTGTCGGATAAGCCTATGTGTCTCGTCAGATATAGGTGGAATTTACATTGACTATCACCTGGACGTATACCTAAATCATTGGTCTGGGTACCTCTGGGTTAATCGCAAAAAGGAACTGCGCCATCTAGTTGAAGATGGTCGAGGCGAGGCGAGGCGAAGTCACTCAATAATAGGGGAAAGCATCACAGCACGAGGGGGAAATGAGCATGCGAAGATATGGTGGCGCAAAACACAAGTCATGCTGGAGTCGCGTCGAGGTAGGTAATAAGGTATGTAGGTTGACACAGGCACGGCCAACGTTTCGGATCAGGCCGGATACGTCCATCAACGCACAGATGATGATTCGCTTGTTGACCATGTTCGTACGTTCAGCGCAGTTGAAATCAAAGTGGTGGATGGCAGGAGATAGAAGGTAAGGATAGTGCTGACTGGTAGTGGTGGGGGGCGGACTCGGAACCGATCCTCGTGTTGAGTCCTTTCGGTGCCGGTTCAGCGATAACTGGTGGGCGATTCATTGCCTTGCATTCAAGCTTCGCCTCGCCTCACCTGCTGTCAACCTAAATGTGCGAAAGCCTTTCCCTACTAACAGACGTTCTTATCGTCATGTCCCTATTCCTACCTTATATTTTGGTCCCAACACTCGTATTACATGACGGCTACTTTCTCTGCACCTCTCATGTTGCGTCGTAGGGCGATCTCGATAGGGTGTTCCTTATCACAGAGGGAGATGTCAGATCTTTCATACACGTTTGCAAGGCCAGGCCGTCATCATAGACTCGGACTTACTTTATTCCCAAATAGCCTGGCGGTGCCGTGAAGATTTCTTCCGGCTGCGCCATACAAGTACTTTGTTGGTGCTGTTTACCATTGTGTCGCCTCCGAAGCTACACCTCGCCTATATCACATCCCGAGGCTGCACATCTATGTCTACCCTGTTCGCCATCTAAATGCGAGCCGTCCTGTTATCATAATTAGTATCCAATGCGAAGGAGACAAGAAATTCGAGCTCTGGGTTACGAACACAAACGCGGGATGGAGAGTGCTTTGGAACATGTGGACCTTAGGCCTCGCTGCTTCCTCTTCCTCTTCCTCGTCCAAATAGAGTGTACCGACTGATTGGCTACTCGTCTTCGAGTCAACTGGTTGGTATCGAGGACGGAGTGTACAACAAGCTCGAAACGTTACAGGACTTCTGCCATTACTCCCTTATTACCCTTGTATTACAAAATATAAAAAGTGAACTGATCGCTTACTCTGAATAGAATGAGCTCGTCCAACCGTCCAAGCACACTAGTTTGTACTGCCGAAGGGTGAGTTGGCTCGTGCCATTCTTCTCGAGTACGTCAAAGGATGGGTGCTCGCTGTTCGTTGCTACGCAGTCACCCCCTTTCAATTCAAGGCGAAACGGGGACCATGACAGCTGTCACAATCGGGCGAAGGAACTCGCAAGTTTCCCTAAATGTCGTCGTACATTGTTCCCTAGATTATTATGCCATCAGCACGTCTCGATCCTACATGGTTTGACCGAGATTCATGAAGGGAAGTTTCACCGCACCATTGAGGAACCGAACCGGACGGCTCAGCCTCGGAATGCTCACACTCTGAAGAAAGAATATGAACATCTATGTAGAAGATAAACACGGCTCATAAACGAAATTCTCGTCTGAGCTGAAGAATCGTCCGGGTTGAATCTGTTTGGAAGACTCGACGGCCGTGCATTTTCTATGATCCCTCCTCGAGTTTTCTCTAGGTGAAATCAGCGTATAGCAGCCTTGAAGCGTCAGTGGGTACATGCATAGCAAGCAACCAAGGCGTCGACACAGACATAGGTCCAAGTTGGATAAGCAAGAAACGGGGGTTGAGCTAGCCTAATGACTTGGTCAGACGAAATCGACGGTAGGAAAAATGAGGTAGTTTGGCCAGGCGAGAAACTGAGATGAAGGCCAGATATCAGAATAGGACTGCGATTGAAGGATATGTACTACGATGAGAATGAGCACTTCGCATATTCTGTAGGTGCATCAGAGTCCGGGCAAGCACAAACGAAGGGGATCGTTACCCCCAACGAAACCGGATATGACGACCAGTCGCATGAGGTCGAGAAGCATGGACGAAGCGCTAGTGTTGATAAATAAGTAAGGTTTAAGGCTTGAAGGAGTTTATGTACGTAGAGAAGGGGAAATTTTTCTTTCTGTCTTGTGCAGATAATAGCACATCGAGAAGGCGATGAAGAAATCGGAAAACGCTGTTAGGAGTAGTTACTGCAAATACGGCACATATCGCTCCCTAGATTACATGTGAAACGAAATGTTTTGGATAATTAAGCACCACATACCTTGATCCTTGACGTCGATCAGGTTTCCGTTATCTTGCCTGATATCTTTGTGATATCCGCGTGTATCTAGGGAAGACAGTGAAAAGGTAAATACTAACAGGACATTCAAGGAAGCTATGGTGCGATGTCAAGACTCTTTCAATTGCAGCACTGGAAAGTAGCTCGCAGACAGATGCTCTGGGTTACAGTGGGGGCAAGGTGTACAGAGTCTTCAGATAGGCCACGCACCGTCCGACTCAGCGATTCCAAGTCAGCTGGAATTCTGGCAGCGAACAGGTCTTGGAATGTTGAGCTTGGAGCGCCTAGTTCGCTTACGAACAGAAGATTCTCTAAGGGATGAAGTGTATAGTCACGTAAAAAGAAAATAGTCACGCAGGAGCACAAGAAATATTTCCAGTTGATGGCACGCGCTCAACACGCTGCTCGGCATGCTACGAACCTAATCGATTTGGTGCGGTGCCGGATCGGCAATCAAATTCCGCAATGTTTTGTCACAATCTTCGACGGCAACATCCTGGAAGCCGTGAGAAAATATGTAATTGTTCCTCGTTCTTGGGCTCGTTGACCTGCGAGCGAAGTTCGTCCACATAGCTGCGCTATCACATTTGGCGAAGCAACCTTTTACCGACGATTTTGAGGATCACACATTTGTGTAAAGATTGCATCTTCACTGCGAGGCCTTCTCCCTTCCCTCGCATCACACAGTGGAAGCATTGATAATTATTCTACACCGTGTTTCCTATAACAATTTTCAATGAGACCATAACCTTCCCTTCATTGGAGGGATTTTTGTCAAGATAACCTACTTGATACGCGATTATAGTAAGGATAACCGTATTCAGTCATAGTAGGTTTATATTCTATTTACAGTGTAAAATAAGCTTCTGTAATGTTATGAAAAAAAGTAATGGTGAAATACCGTTTCAAAACATCCCATCTGGGGAGTCGAGGCTTATCACCCTTGAATACATTGAACACAATAAGGAGACTGCTGCCGGCATGCACACTGTAGTACATACCGAATACGACCGAGTCCTGACCAAAAAGGCTTCCCATCCAGGTTGTCACAAGTTGATATACTTATTACCGGTAAGTAAGAATTTGCAACTTTGCAAGTGCTTTTCAAGCGAGTGTTAAAAACATCTGACACTTCGGATACGGGGAATCGAACCCCGAGCTGCCGCGAGATCTACATGTGATGGAAGCATGAGAGGCGGCAATGTTAGCCGTTACACCATATCCGACACAGGATCAATTTAATACTTACATCCTTCACTTCCTCATGCAACTATCAGAACTATAGCCAAAGGACGCGCAAAAACTCAACTCGATCGCAAAGAAATGTTTGGTCATCAAGAATGTTTTTAAGCACGGCCTACCTGTAAGATACAACAAATATTCTACACGAAAAAGAAGATCAATAAGTCGACGGGACATGTATGAAATAAGGTAAGAATCATCGTGTCATATCATAAAACAGTTATCTTGTCGTAACCACGTTCAACCACTTGTTCTGCACTGAGTTGACCAGTGTAACTCCTGATGAATCCGTACTCGTCGACGGCGACGGGGACACAAGGGAACGATCTTCATATATCTCCCCCTCCTCCAAATCTGGCTCCCCATCGCTCTCCAGGTCCATGTCGGAATCGGCGTCCATCCCGTCATCGACGTCACACTGTTCCCATGGTACGATTACCGGCAAAGTCTTGGAAACCGGAAGGTACGAAAGACTAAGCGGAGCCGAAGCTTCCTCTTCCTTGACCGCTTTGGCTACCCTCATCTCGGTGATGCGCACTTCCACCTCTTCTTCCTTCACCCACGGGTTTATGATATCCTCAATCAGCGGCACCGAAACTGTAGCACGATCTTGCAGCTTTGACCCAGATACCTGCAAGACAGGCTTAACACCGTCTTCAGATGAAGCTGACAATCGCCTTCGCTTCGGAGTCGGAGCTGGATACTGAGGTTCGTCACTTGCCCGCGAGCTGCTGCTCTCACGGGAATACGGGCTTCTTCCTTCCCTTAACGGCCGCTTGACACTCCTTCTCAACTCATGTAATTCCTTCCGAATCTCTTCCTTCTCCTGACGCTCACGAACGAGAAGTTGAGCGCATGAGGTGCGGATGGTCGTAATGATAGAGCGTATCCAAGGGTTGGACATGAGGGAGATGGGAATATGTTGTATCTGTCGTTGCTGCTGGGCAGACGGTGGGAAGGACGGCAGAGAATGTATACGTCTGGGGGAAGGCTGAGCGTGCGGAATAAGAGCGCACCGACCCGAAAGATGCAGCGGTACCGGTTGGAGATGCTCTTGCCTATTGAACTGGGCCAAATTCTCCGCAGTAAGCGGAGGGGGCCCACCAAGGGGAAGCATCGACGGCGGAGGCTTTCTTTCCAAAAGGTAAAGAGGTGGTAGTGACTGGGGCAAGGATGACGGTAGAGAAATGGGCAGGGGCACCTGAGGGTCAGGTAGGATGGCGACCGGCCGGCGTACTTCGATTCGTGGGCGCTCCAGGTCATACGTTGGTCTTCGAGGAAGTAACGGCGGACGATAATCGCACATGTCTACGTCGGCGCTGAGACGACGCTGGGGTTGGATGCGACTGCTGGGCAGTTGTCGGGACAACCTAGACTTCGAAGACTCGGCATATACGTAGTCGAAGGAGTCAATCTGGGGGTTCAGGGCGTCGTCATAGAAGCGTATACATCCTGGAAGGACCTAGAAATGATTAGAAGAGGTGTAAAGACAAACAGATCAACGGCAAACCTGTTCAGAGTATCTGACTGTCATTATTGGGTTCGAGATGCACGATGAGCAGGCGGCAGGCTTGCGATCGTACTTGGTCGATTTCGGTAGGGCCTTTGTCCCGACACATATGAGTATACTGTGAGGATAAAACAAAGAATGAACACACACTAGTCTGTATCGTATTAAGGACAGCACCGCTATCCATAAACTAGGGGGTTGAGTATTCTCTCCTCTTACGCGGACCAGCCAGTGGACGGAAGCAGAAATCGCGTTCCACGGAAGCAAAACGCTTTGGCTTTAGTAGCCTTGGTGAATTTAGCCGCAATGATTCATTCCGGCCGACTCAAAACAATAAGACAATGAGCGTTAGGCTCCCATCAGATCCCACGGTCCCCAAGACAAAAAGCCTGGGGGGTTCCCTGTACATCTGACGTGATAGCGAATGCAAGAAAACAATTAAAAAGCAAAAGTACGTATAGCGTCGACATTGTCGTTCGTGTAAGAAGGAATCTCAAATAGGAAGGTCGGGTCCTGCCAAGCGTTCGACGGGACTTCATTATTGTGAGAAAGATCGGGATGTGCACGTATAGGGTACGAAGCATACAGCTGCTACCGTGCCTGTCAGGTATGCAAACCGCACCATTGTCCAAGGGTCCCGAATGGGCCTTCAATGGGCATTCCCTGGCGCTATATTTGCATCACGCAGGGCGACAACTTGGCAACAGATTAGTGAGAGCAATATAATTAGTTGCACAGAAACGTGCAGTGATATTGTTGTCGTCTTTGTCGTCGTAGTGGAAGAGAAAGTCCACGATAAATAGGAACACACAACGCGACTACAGCCGTCTATATCGGGAAATACCGGGATATTGCCCTCTTTGGGCGTGTCGTCGGCTGATGTCGGCACCGTCGATCGACCCCAAGATATGATCAAAGATGATCGTCAAAGCAGTGTCAAGTGTGAGCTTTTTGTGATACGAACTTTTAGTTTGGTAACGATCCATCTTCTTCTGTTTGGATATGGACAGTTTGTACGAAGAATTCCATATGAAAGGATTCGTATGATCAACAATCAATCAAGCGTTTTGACATCGTCATCAACTTGTCCTCTGCGCGTCCATTAGATTCCCTCCCGTGGGTTGCGGATTGGTCCACCTTAAATACTTTCCCATCAGCTTCTTCAAGATATCAGTTTTCATACAACAGTATACCATGTGAAGAATATGAAGCGCCAAAAAAATAAGGTCTCGATGGAGGGGAACTGCGAGCAGTGATTATTATGCTACCAGTATGGAACCAGACCTATCGCCCTCCCGTCATCGGCCTACTGTCCGCCTGTTGCTCTCCACTCCTTGCTTCCCATGTTTTTTTCTTCTTTCAATTCCTTGACTTACTGACACGTGAATTCCGTCAGGTTTGTTCGAATCAACTTAGGAATGAACATTGAGTAGAGCCTGAGCATATGATGGATAGTATAAGCAATTGAATTGAATCCATGTCCAAACTGAAATCAGCTGTTCGGTTCAAAAATAGACATCGGAAGACATTTAAGAAACCAACAATTCTTGAGCACGAGTGGTCTGCACACCTTTTCTTATCGTTGTCTCCTGCACCCTCTCGAACTTTCTCCGACAATACACCATCTCATCCACTGAAGTTTTAGTTGTAGAAACTTCTTACTCTTCCAACGTCTTCATAACTCAAATCTAGTATCCTTCCTCTCCAGCATCACCACACGGCAACATTACTAGACTAGATCAATTCAGCGACCTTCTCGGAAAGCATCGCCTTCTCACGGCATTTGGAGTGCCAGCTTGGTACAAGGAGTTCATTTTCAGCGCCGAGCCAGTGGCATACGCGTCGCTTGTGAGGAATCAATTACCGACGGGTTCATTTTCTTCGCGGTGCCGCCGCCACTTAGACGGAGAGAAACTGTCAGAAGACCCCGATAAGGGGCGTTTGTGTGTCCTTTCGCTGAATAGTGTGTATCGAGAAAGCTGAGCGGGATTCTCTTGGGAAGTGCGATGGATCGGACATGAGGCTGAAAGAATGTCAGATTACAAGAATGCCTTTAACGTGAAGTAATCGTACCGTACTTTTTCCGACCCCAGTTGTTTAAGATAGAGAAAGTCGGACCGGGGCACGACGGCTAGAGAGCGAATTGTATGTGATCGATAGCCGTAGCCACAACACAGATGGGTTTATTTTACCCACAGAGCTGTTTTAAGGAAGAATTGCATTGTGATCGCGGAAGATCCGTCAAGGCGTCAAGATTGCTAGTTCCCACTCGCTGGATTAATGTCCCCATCACCGATGATCACCGCGAACACGCGCGGTTGTGGGAGCGTGGACACCATGAGGTGGGACGATATTTAAAGACATACCATACCGGGGTATGTGAAAGTGGAAATAGCGTGGAGTGTGATATGCTTGCGGACCTCAACACACCGGAAAATGATCCATGGAATACAGAGGGAGCAGTGTTCGACGCCGGGATCACAGTTATTGCTGCAAGTGGACGAATTTTCGATCGTGCGACCGGTCACGATGCAATCGAACGATCAGATTTCTTCCCGGGAGGACATAGAGTGGCTCAAAAACGGACAGCAATAGTAACAGCAACAGATGTTTCCCACAACGATTGAGCGCTGGAGAGCCTAGAAAGGACACAGAAGCCACCTGTCAAGGCAGTGCAGTGCTCCATACAGTATGTACTGATTTGAGGAGGGCAGTGGCCGTTTTAAGCGCGCGATCGGCATCAGCAGAAAAGGGACCGTGGGAAATGATTAAATAAACCGGTATATAAAGGCCGAATTTTGCTCCCAACTTCTTCCTACGCCCAATCGACGCCCTTTTCAGGCCTACGTGTTTCGTGATTCTGTGGAGGAAATAATCTCTGTCTGCTTCTCTTCTATTTGTTCATGCAGCAGAGGAGGGATACTGGCCCGGGCCTGGGGATTCTCGATCTGAAAGGAAATAGTAGCAGTACTCCAGTGACACCACAAAGGACCAATTCACGGCCACTGGGGGATGAACCAGCACCATCTAATTCCACAGGAACAAGACCTCCATCGCGCTCTGAAAATGACACCGCGAATCGGATAAATCAGCCGGGGGGATATCCTATTTCGACGGGACCACAGGTACAACCATACGGGGGAGCGTCGGGGCAGCCGTATTACGCTGCAATTCGTTTCGTAGACCAGTCGGGGGGACCACAGGGGGGGCAGGTGCGTAGTTATTTTTCTGACCGCCTATATTTTTTTGAAAGAGTTCTTTGATCAAGTCACGACCTATGATTCCGACATCTGTAATGGCCCCCCGCGTACAGCCTCCCCAGAAGCCTACGGCAAAAACATCATCAAAATCAGAAAGTAACGGAACCTCGCGAGCACCATCAAGGACGAGGTCGGATCCCGTACCGAGTCCTTCAATGTCTGTGCACCCGTCACCCGTGGAAACGAGGCGTGACCTTCTACCGGTATGTTACAT